ATAGACATACTTTTGAAATAGAATTACCTTATGAAGAAGGATTTTTAGAAAAGAATATTCCTACTAAAGTTAAACCAGTACAACTAAATAAAGAAACGCTAGAATACTGTAGAAAAGAAATAAAATCTTTTTTAGATAAAAAACTTATTAGACCAAGCAAATCTCCTTGGAGTTGTGCTGCATTCTATGTGCAAAATGCCTCCGAAATAGAAAGAGGAGAACCAAGGATGGTAATAAATTATAAACCTCTAAATAAAGTCTTAAAATGGATTAGGTATCCTCTACCTAATAAAACTGAATTAATAAGCAGAATTTATAAAGCCACTATATTTTCTAAATTTGATATGAAGAGTGGATATTATCAAATTAAATTAAAAGAACAAGATAAATATAAAACTGCTTTTATTGTACCTTTTGGGCAATACGAATGGAATGTAATGTCTATGGGTTTAAAAAATGTGCCTTCAGAATTTCAAAAAATAATGAATGATATACTAAACCCTTACTCAAAATTTGTCATTGCCTACATTGACGATGTATTAATATTCTCCGAATCAATAAAACAACATAAAAAACATTTAAGAATATTTAAAAATATTATAAAAACCAATGGAATGGTAATATCACAAAAGAAAATAAAATTAGCACAAACCCAGATTAGATTTTTAGGTCATGAAATAAATAAAGGAACTATAACCCCTATTAAAAGAAGTATTGAATTTGCAGAAAAATTTCCTAATGAAATAAAAGATAAATTGCAATTACAAAGATTTTTAGGATGTTTAAACTATGTATCAGAATTTATACCTAATATTCGAATATTATGTATACCACTTTTCAATAGATTAAGAAAAAATCCTAAACCTTGGACCCTGGAAATGACTAAGATAGTAATAGAAGTCAAAAAATTAGTTAAGACTCTACCTGTCTAGGAATACCTAATCCAGAAGCAAAAATAATTATAGAAACTGATGCCTCTGATATGGGATACGGAGGAATATTAAAACAACATTTACCTAATACTCCCGAACAAATAGTAAGATACCACTCAGGAATATGGAATGAAGCCCAAAGAAATTATAGCACTATTAAAAATGAAATTTTAAGCATAGTTTTAAATATACAAAAATTTCAACATGATTTAATAAATAAATTTTTTTTATTAAGAATTGATTGTAAATCTGCAAAAGAAGTTTTAGAAAAAAATGTAAAAAATATAGTTTCAAAACAAATATTTGCAAGATGAAAAAGTTTATTATCTTGCTTTGAATTTGACATAGAATTTATAAATGGAAAAGAAAATTCAATACCAGATTTTCTAACAAGAGAATTTTTGCAGGGCCACTCCCATGGCAACCCCTCTTAAAAAAACCAAATACCCCTGAAAAGAATAAAACAGAAAATCCTAAGTCATCTACATTGTCTCTAGATGACTTTACTCCCTCATATTCAAAAACAATAGCCACCCGAAAACTTCCTACTTCCATAACCACTCTCCCCAATAGATTTACTCCATTAACCCCACAAAAAGCTCAGAATATTTCCCCTGAAACAACCCCGAAGAAAGAATTTCATATAAAAGAAGGATGCTAGAAGATAATCACTCTAGAAGAAGATTGGAATACAGAAGATGTATATGGAATACTTAAAAGGCTAGCTCCTCCAGGATGGAGTTGGATCCCTAGATCAGAAAATCTAAAGAAAATCAAAAAATTCTACCAATTCATTTTAATAGATACCGGCTCGGCTGAAATAACTCGCATCCCTAATGATAGAGATCCCTCTATTATTAGTTACTCAAAATTAAGAATTATTAAAATAATTTTCTACCAAGAATGGAATCAACATTCATTCACTGATAAGAGCTTTTCGAGGCCCTTTGACCCCCCATCTTATAATTACTTTGATTACTAAGAAGCCTAGAACAAAATACTCTTCGACACAAACCCTAGGCATTCCTGGTATATCTGTTTCAAAAAGGAAATACCCAATTCATTACCCAACTGGTTTATTGACTGGTTTAATCAAATAGGTCCTGTTCAGGCAATAATCCCCGAGAAAATCATGAAAATATATCAGAAATACAAAAACCTTACTCCTCAGTACCCTCCATATCTTCAAATTATAAAATTCTATTCAACTATGGGAATAAGCTGGCTTTTGGCCCACATTCCTGAAGTCCATCAACATAAAGACGAAACCTACCCAAAAACCCTCTGCTTAAAAACCAAAGTTTTTTTGTGGAAGAAATTTGAAGTCCAGTATGTAGAAGAAAAATTCAAAAATTGGAAGAAAATGGGTCTTATTAGTCAAAAAGGCCCAATACCAAAAGAAATGCCCTCAATAAAAGAAAAAGGAAAATTCATTATAGACTTATCACAACTCCCCTCATCAAAAATTGAAAAAGCCCAATTAAAACAAAAAATGCTCGAAGCATTATCCTCTTTGGGCTCTGATGATGAAGAAGAAGAAAACGAAGCCATCATTAATATTCAAGATGCAGAAGATCCTTATGAAGACGAAGAAGAAAATGTTGATTTTGATTAGTTCTAACAACTAATTCATCCAACCAAAAAAGAACTGCAAGGAAGAATTCATAATATTATGAAGAAATTAGAAGAAGATCCTCATGAAATATCTCTCTAAGAAAAAGCATCTTAGTAAGAAGCTGGGCTTATCTGGCCCATCGCCCAACAGATGATATAGTTCTCCTTTCAGAAGAAGACTTAGTGGATTCCCTACGTAAAGAAAATGAGGGCCCACAAAGTTGAAAGAAAAGTCATTGTAATTATGTAATTTTGTTTTTAACGTCGGCTGCCGAAAGTAAAAGCGTGTCAGTTGTAATTATCTTTTGTTTTTAGCACAGGTGTCTCTTGTAATTATGTCTTTGGTCGGCCACTTGTTACTAGTGTGCCAGTTGTATAATTGAATAGGAAAATATTAAGGTCTATAAAAGAGTCAGTTGCTGAAGTAGAATTTACAGCTCTCTTAGAGCCTTAAACTCTATCTTCCTCAACCAACTCCTTCATAGCCTAAGTTCCCAGCTTTCCCTTGTTTCCTCGAATAGTCTTGAAAATTGTAAGATTTCAGAAATTTCAGAATAATATATTCTCTTCTTCTTCTCTTATATTTTCTCTTCTGCTTTATATGCGCTGGTACTAGAAATGTCAAACCAGTCAATAAACCAGTTGGGTAATGAATTGGGTATTTCTTTTTTGAAACAGATATACCAAGAATGCCTAGGGTTTGTGTCGAAAAGTATTTTGTTCCATGCTTCTTGGTAATCAAAGTAATTATAAGATGGGGGTCAAAGGACCTCGAAATACTCTTATCAGTGAATGGATGTTGATTCCATTTTGGGTAGGAAATTATTTTAATAATTCTTAATTTTGAGTAACTAATAATAGAAGGATCTCTATCATTAGGGATGTGAGTTATTTCAGCCGAGCCGATATCTATTAAAATGAATTGGTAGAATTTTTTGGTTTTCTTTAAATTTTCTGATCTAGGGATCCAACTCCATCTTAGAGGAGCTAGCCTTTTAAGTATTTCATATATATATATATACATACATACGACGGGAACGAGAATATTAATGTGAGGGTGAAATCATTCAACAATGAATTTGGAATTTCATTTCTTTCTATACTAACCTTGCAAAAAATGAAATGATAAGGTTTTTGTATCCTTCAACATCACGTTTTCCTATCTTTCACACAAAAAAAACTTTTCAAAATGTAGACCTTGTTTTTCATACTAAATAAATCTTTCATTTTTGGTCCATCTATTAAATGAACTTTCATTAAATGTCTTACAGAATTAAAAAAAAGTTATAGGTCATCATTTGATTAATTACTTGGTAATCAAAATATGAACGTATAACTCATGCTAACTATTTCAAAGATTAATCGACAATGTAAACTCTCACACAACCCATGCATAAGTTAAAATGAGTTAATATAAAGGTTGTCAAAAAATAAATAAAAAAGAGAAAAATGAACACCTAATATAATCCCAACATCCATTCAACATTCCTGTTACAAGTGACTAAAAAGAACAAACAAAAAAACTATAATGAATAATAAACAAAGGTTATATGGGTATCATTGGAGTGCTTTGATAAAAAAGACTGATATGTGTATCATCACTAAAAAAATATACACACTATTATCACCTTCACGTTAGTACAACTTCACACCATCTCTTTTTTCCTTTTTTATTGAACACATTATCATTGAGACATAAAACATAAAACATTGCCTCACTTCCTTAGTTTGAAACCCTTAGTAAAAATACAAAAACCAAACTCCTGAATAGAAGTTGAGACCATAATTACACAATTACATGCGAGCATTTTATATCTAGAATTATATGAAATGCCAATTCCCCATTTACTATAGATGAGGATGTTGAGCATAAGCACCCGGCATATTACTATGACTTTAAACAGTCAGTACATGGACCCAGTGAATCTACTCTTTGCTAGAAGATAAGAAGAAAGAAACAAGAAATACAAGTAGCCTGTAGTCTGATTTAGGTAATTGCCAATGATAACAGCTTATAGAAACGTCAGAGACCTAAAATTAGTTCCCATTGTCGAATGATGATTATTGAATAATAAACACAAAGCTCGAGTTATTACAAAGAAGTAAAAAGGGTAAATGATTAAAGAAAAAGGAAAAAGTAAACTACAAAGGAACCCTGTGAATGATATTTCGGAGTTTTGATGAGACTGATACTGTGTCTTTGATGGTTAGTACTGTCTTGAGAGATCATATTGTATAGAAGGTTCTTCTTTCCCCACAAAATGTTTTGATTTTACGTGAACTTTGATCTCATGGTAAAACAAGGACTTGTGGAAACTATATATATATTATATACAATTTTTTTCTGCACGTGTAAATGATGTCTGTTGAACTTGCAAGCAATGAGAGCAAAACTTGGGTGTAGCTTGGCAAAGACAGACAAGTCCGTGAAAAGCCAGGGACAAGCAACCAGAATCAATGACACTTCATCCCAATAGCGGAATCGTCCTCCGGATTTACATCAGGATTGTCCCCAGGGAGAAGGCCAAGAAGAGGCAGAGGAAATAAAGAGCTAAGATTGCAAAGGATTATCAGAGGTGCCAAGTTATCAAATCTGTCCTTGGTAATTCCAAATAGTTGAGTCAAGCCCGCCCCTAACAATCCCCCAACAACACTCCCTCCATTTGATACAGACATGAGAGTTGCGAAAAGAGTTGCCTCCATTCCTTCAGGACATAATCTTGCTGCTAGCACAAGAACGGGCATGAAAGAAGCCTGAAATAAACTAGTAATCAGATGCAAGACAAATTTTGCTAAAACAAATAGTAGACTAATGGTTGAGTGGTAGAACCAAAGCACAAGAAAGTTATCCACGTGGTGCATGTTAATACTGCATATTTGATGGTATAAGTCATAAAAAATATCAATTTTAATTTATCATTATCAAAACTGCAACAAAATATATTCCTTATTTAAATTTACATTTTCATAAGGAAGGCATGATTCTCATAAACAAGTTGAAGAATTCCTTTCTGATCACAAAAAGGAAGAAGAAACAATTGTATTTTAGCATTTAGAGCCTTCAAATAAATGGAAACCGTGTATGAGGTGTGCTAATAACACACTGTCCAACACACTTTATAATTGACTAATATTGATTGATAGCTGCAAGGTCAGGAGAAAAAAATCATTACACAAGTAGTGAGAACCACCAGATATTATGAATTCCAATAAAATTTAATCAATAGTAGAGAGTGGATTCAAAAGAGTGTCAGAGAATTTGTTGCTAACATTTTTCTTCCTATGAATAAGCAGTCTACACAGAAAGTCCAATTTTTATGAATGGCTCGTAAACTTTACAACTAAGATACCCATAAGATTTAGTCATGATAATAATTACCTAGCTTGGGTAGTCAAAGAAAGACAAGAGGAATTGACCAGCAACTACATTGGTAAAAACCCACAAGTTAGTTAAGTAATTGTTTCTGTCACGGTCCCCATTAAGGGTGGGTTTATGTCACCAGTAGCTGCCTATCACAACCACTTGGAACCCTATGCAACATTAGCTGTCATCACTATTTGCCTTGGGACGAGGTCAATGTTTAGGGGGAAAGTATTGATAGTTATACTTATAATAGCATTAATTAGCGATGCTAGTAAGTAGTTAGTTAGGTTAGTTAGTCAAATAAATACAAGGGTTTGTGTTAGAAGAAGGGAAATGGGAATACAACTGATTAGAGGCCCATTAAGAGTGGGTTTATGTTAGCAAACCAGTAGTTGCCTATATATAGAAATAAATGTAAACAGTTAAGGGGTTTCTGTGATTGGGAAAGCATTGCAAGAAGTGAATCCAGCCCTCTCATATTTGGAATCATGTATTGCTTCCTCCTAGGGTTCCCTTGCTAATTTTAGCCAATAAAAAATCCATTCTTTCTCAATGTTATTCTACTAGTTCTATCAACCAGTATCTGAGCTTTCACTCTTGGAGCTGTGGGGGGTTGTGAATGATTCCAAGATTTTATGGGAAGGATAACACCTTTGTTGGTTGATCAATTTAGAACAGTGTTTGGATGGAACTTGGAGTGAGAGAGGAGGAGAACCAATCTGGGGTTTAGATGACACTGAGAGGAGACGCTCTCAATTGGATGATTTTTTGAGAGAGCAACCAAAGTGTCACATTTTTTACCTTTGAGAGGTTGGGCTAAGTGCTTTTCAACCAAAGTTTTGAGTTTGTCTTCAAGATTCAGAGGAGGAAGAAAGAATAAAAGATGAAGTTCCGTGGATCAAGAGCCAAGGAAAGAATCAAGGTGGCAAAGAAGAATCAAAAGTTGTGAATGGACCAAGAAAATAATCAAGACAACAACATAAGAATAGGAAGGACAAAAGATGACAAGAAATAAGAAATTATTGGTGAACAACCACCATTGCAAGAACCACTAGAATCATATGAAGTCATGGAAAGGATTTTGGTGAAGAATTGGAACTCTGGAGGAATTCTAGAGAAAGAAATTGTTTTCTCTTCAAAATTAATGTCTAAGTCAGTCCAATGAAATGATAAAATGAAAGAAAACAGGAAGCCACAGCAATGGAATTGTTCAATTTTCACATGGGCAAGAACCAGTAAATTAAGGTGGAAGACCTTGATAACCTTCTCCAGCTGCAACTGGAAAACACTCTTTTTCGCGGTAAAATGGGCCTTAAAAAACAGTGTCTTATAAAAGAATTGAGGTACTCATATCTGGAATCGTGTATAACTTCCTAGGGGGCTTCTCCCTATTTTCTTTCAATAAAAGACCAGTTATTTCTCTTGGCTATGATACCAGTTCCATCAGATACCCTTTAGTTAATCATGTGAGTAAATAGTAATTAGTTAGATTAGATAGTCAAAGAAATGCAAAGGGTTGTGTTAAAAGCAAGGGGAATGGTCTTGTTGCTGTTTATGCCCGTTAAGTGTGGGTTTATTATGTTAGCAGACCAATAGCTGTCTATAGATAGTAAGAGGGGTTGAGAAGAAGAGATTTATTTGGTGAAATAGAGTTAGGGCTCGGAAGAGGCCTAAATTTCTCAAATATCCAGGGAATTCTCTGTAGAGATGCACTCAATCAATAAAAAAATTCCAATGAACAGTTGGGACAAAAATTAGACTAGTGCATCTAGGCCAAGGCTGGAGCCAATACATTATGTCAATCAATTGACTGAAGTTCCACAGAATCAAGATAAACACCTGAGACTCTGGTGATGTACAGAGGGGACAGCAGTAGTGAACAGTGGGCAGACAAATAAAAGCATAGCAGTAGACAGCGTCAGAAGTTTGATTAGAAGAGAAGATAGGCAGAGCAGAATCAAACTTACTCTGATAATAAGTTGAAGACTAAAGAAATAAGAAAAAAAATTGTTTTAATTAGGAAGCACCCAACTACGCTACATATAATAGTTTCAGAGAGAGACTACATTTAATAGCAATAATCATAAAATTCAACATCTTAGTATAATGATAAGCCCCTAACACTAGTCAACTTTCTTAGACTTTAATTGCCAAGAAACCATAAAAATATTACAGTTTCCAACAAATGAAAACATAAAATATAACTACAATAAATCCCTCAAAAGCTACTTCTAGAAGACTGCTAATAGCTGGTGCTTTTTGTAAGTCCCTTTTAACTGCTTTTAGAAGTTACATGTGTTTTTTCATCGTAAACAGAAACAATAACATCACATCTAAATAATAGCAGCTTCAAAAATTACCAACAATACCAGAATTAAATTTACCCTGAAAAATTAACATGATAGTGAGAAACTAATAGACTTTAATAGCGGGGTGGAAAACATAAATGGGCTTTATGCTTGAATAGAGAAAGATAAATAAAATTCAAGAAAATATTTTGAACAAACACAATAACCTAATTTATAACTACAGGAGAGATTGTATTTTGTCCAGAGTCAGTAGTATATAACTAATGAGTAAAAGAATACAATGATAACCTGACTCAAAACAGTGAGAATTAATGAATCACCAATTGCAAACCACTCATCACTGATGCCAAATTTCCGGTTTAGTCCAGTAACCAGGAAAACCTGACAAAATAAAAACATAAAGATATTTCAAACAGTCATCTCACATTAAAAATATATAGACTTAACTGCACTATACAATTAACCTGAGTCATCCCAAGAGCTGAACCTAAAAGGGTAGTTGCAAGAAATATTTTCCGTAAAGGCACATTCTTCAGAAATCCATTATAAAGACCAACACCAAGCAGAGACGCAATTGAGGTAACAAGCTTGACACGTCCCAAAAACTCCGGGGTAAAACCAAGAGAATTTGTGCTGAAATGGATAAGAGATCATTTAAAATTGAAGTAAATGCTATGAGGTGATAAGAGATTAACAAGAGCACATGAAACTCTTCACAGATAAAAAAAAAATGATTAATCATATTCACAGTGAACATACGTAAAGTAGAACATGGCAGAGTCAGACTGCGGAGTTGCTTGCCACAAGAAAATAAACAAAGTGGGAAGAAAAATACTACGCTGTCGCACAGAACCCCACAGCTGAATAATGCCCTGTTTTGAATTTTCCAGAAACTCTGTGCCGGAAAGAAGAAGATTTGTCCCCCTCGCTGCACTGAGCATTGGTTGTTCTTCTACAAGAACAGCAACTATAGATGTTATCAATGGAAGCAATGATGTGACACCAAAGACAAACCTGGAATAGTATACAATTATTAGAGTGTAGAAGAACATGAGAAGGATAAAAAAGAAATACTGCTATCAGAATTCAGAAGTATCTTTTTTCACAAACTTCTTTCACTACCTTACTCCATATGTATCCAGCAAAGATCCACTGAAGTACGAGCTCACAATTCCACCAAAGGCCGAAGAACCCCAACATAATGATTGAAGAGATCCTGAGGTGCTTTGTGACTCACCACGTGCCCTCTCCACAACCATTGAATCTACAACCTAAAACACAGATCACAGTGTCTGACATAGTTCTCTGAAAATTTTCAATCTGTAGATGATTAAAAACTGCAGCCATAATATCAGAGGCATATAAAATTGAAAACATAAAATACAGCGAGTTTGCATCCATGCATTGAGCACAGTGATGGAAAAGGCAAGGCTGCAGCAGGACCAAAAAATATATAGCAGTATGGTATTAATTTAGTACCTTAGTGCAATATGAATACCTAAAAACCAGATGATAGAAAGAGTGTAACTAATTAAAATTAAAATCATAGTACATTTGAAACTAATAAGATCATATGAAAGTATGAATCACAATATGAGGTAATTGCATGCATTTATAAATTCTATGAAAATTTGTCATTAATGAAGAGAACAAGTAGACAGTTGTCCTCTTTGTCCATAATGCTCCTTGTTCACAAAAAGGAAATGATAAACCAATAAAACTTCATTTATAAAGGTTAAAAGGAAAGAAAGATAGAAATTAATATTTCCTGAAAATATTTATTTTGTTTTCACTCTCCATTTTCCTTATATCACGAAAGATTCTTTCATGGATGCCCAATAGTTTAAAGGGTGTGCGTAAAAAAGGGAAATAAATTTGGAACAGGGAACTAATTTAAATGTATTGAAATATATAATAGGGGAAGTTAGAAGTTAGTTGAGTCAATTAGAAACTCTGTCCGAAGTTGTAGGAGAGGAGGTGCTCTCAATCACCTTGCTGAATTTTTCCTGGTTACACTGAGCTGCCCGTCCCATAATATTCCAGGGTACATTGTGCTAGTTTCTTGTTTAATTCTTCCAGTTAGTTCTATTTTAAACTAGTTTAGTCTATCAATTTGTATCAGAACCTTCCACCATATCTCTCAACTGCAAATGAGGGGCATGGATGGTGAACTTGGCATTGCAGTGTTCATCCAGGGCCAGTCAAAGGGCTAGTGCACAGCCAGAACGCATGGGCGCTGGGGCTGGGGAGTGTGGTGGGATGTTAGGACCCAAATGCAAAGTCTCACATTGGAAGGATGAAATTACTCAACTGTGAGGTTTATAAGGCCCAGGGATCTCACACAGTGACGGTTTGCTTTTATAGTGTGATTCTCCCAAGGTTATCATCACTGTGCACTAGCCCTTAGACTAGACCTGAGCAAACACTACAATACGCATATCACCTGTGCCTGTAGTTAAGAGACATGGAAAGTCCAAGGCTAAGAAGAAATTAAGATTCCTTTGATAGTAAATATCCAACAGCTGGGAAGAATTCTGGAAAGAGGGTTTTGGGTAAAAATTCTAATTTCTGGTTCTTTTCATAATCAAAGAATAATGATAAGCCATAAATCACCTTACATGTATATATTTTTACCATTTGATTACAAACTACCTAACCTATCTTTCTGTTCAGCCACTCTCGTATTTCAGTAATCTCACATGGATGCAAGGTGGTCCGCTTGGTACTGATGCGCACCAAACATCATTTGTAATTAAATTATTCCAGAGAAAAATAATATGTGAATAACTAAGTTTGAAGCACTCACAACATCCGAGAAGGCAACAGAGAGAGATCCAAGAAGTATGCAAAAAGCTGCACTATATTTGTTGTCAACAAAAGTAGCCATCAAACTCCATGAGAGTGCACCAAACAGCCCTGATAAAACTAGGTATGACCTTCTTCTATAACCAAAGAGGGGAACAGAATCACTGCACACCACATTAATGACTTCAATAATGAAAATGTAGTCCACGGTATTGATAAAATGAGAAAATAATGAACCACCCACTTCAGGAAGAGTAAAAAGTGAGTCGGTTTTAGACTCACCTAATAAACCCATATAGAGGCTTGACAAGCCACGGTAAAGCAGAAAAACCAGCAATCACAGCTGCCTAGTTGACATAGTATGCATGTAACATGTCAGTCCTTCATATATCAGTCCATAATTGATTGAAATGGGAACGGAAGTTCAAGGAAATGCTATCACTCTTCTGGTTTCTAGATTTGATTCAAGCAAAGGCTCACACAGCACTCACACCACGAGTTTGGTAAATGAACACATATAATAAAATTAAAATGAAATTAATCAAAAAGATGTGCATGAATTGCATTTTAAACCACGAGTTTAGAAGACACACCTCAGCAGGGTCCAAATGCAAATCATCTTTTAAGTAAAAGTTGACAGCCAGTCTTGCAAGTCCTAAAACACCTTGCACAAAATAGACCATCGCAACAGCAACATTATCAGGGGATAAATCTACCCCAAACAATTTGATGCTGCTCATACGATATTTGTGCTTTCTAGGAGCAACTTTAGTAGAGGAAGAAGCCTCTAAATCGGTGTCAGTTGTTAAAGCATCATCTTTTCCAGCACCTGCCACGAAAACCGAAATCCAAATTGCTGCCATTTGAACATACGGAAATGATATTTTGACATCCAAAAACCATACATTTGAGTATACATTTATGAATTTCATTTAAAAAAAAAACAAATATATATATATATATATATATATATATATATATATATAATAATTCAAGCTCAGTATAAACACTAAATCACTCACCATTAGCATAATCAACTGCATTAAAGACAGCATTCACCAAGCACATAGAAACTTTATGTAGCAAAAAAAATTATTAAATGTTGCATGTTTCATGGATGAGGAATTTCAATTTTGGAGCTTACTTATACTAGAACCCAAGAAAGGGTTGCTATCGTCGCTGCTGAGTCGGAGAGAGGATCCGGACCTCGGAATGGGGCCGGAGATTTCCATTTCCGGCGGATTCCGACGCGTTCTCCGGCGGAATCGCGGAGTGTGAGAGACAATTGGCGTGCGGCGTGTGAAAGAGGGATAAAAATTGGAAAATTTGGAGGGTAAAAATGGTAATAAAGACAAAATATATACGGAAGTCATTTTATTTTATGGAATATTTATTGCTGTTATAAAATTAATTAATGACTTACAACTTTGAAGCGTGTTATTAACGTTGACGCAGAGTCCAAGCATAGCAGCTATGGTGAGAGTGATGTGACTGTGTATGAATAAGGCACGTACGTACATGGTGTGGTGGTGAATTGAGGTTAAGTTTGGATTGGGCCCTTCACACTGAAGTTCAAAGCCGTCAAAGGATCTTTCTTCCTCCACCCCATAATTTCTTCTTGCACCCATAATTAAATTAATCTTTTTTTATTCTTAGACTTATTTTCATCTTCATTTTTTATCAAAACATATTTTAAAATATCTAATCTAAAATATATTTTTAAATTGATTTTTTTAAAACACCTAATTCTATTTTTGAATTGATATTTCCAAACACAAATTCCAAAACATCTAATTTAAAATCGAAATTCAATCTTATTTTCATAATATTATTAACATATAATTGATATATAATATTAACAATTTCTTAAAAAAATTGACAAATTCCAAAACATCTAATTTAAAATCGAAATTCAATCTTATTTTCATAATATTATTAACATATAATTCATATATAATATTAACAATTTCTTAAAAAAATTTGACAAATTCCAAAACATCTAATTTAAAATTCTATTATTAACTTATAATTCATATATAATATTAACAATTTCTTAAAAAAAATATTGACAAAGGATGGAGGTGCTGAATTTAACTTTGGTACGAAATTTCAAAGAGAAATGATGAGGTACAGAGCCACCCTTCATAGGTCCTATTGGGTCTTTAGAATGGGGAACTCAAAAATATTTTGCAAACTATCTTACACTAATAATTTTTGGTGATGAGTTCGTTTGGGTTTTATTATTTTCACATTGAGTGATTAAAAATGAATTATCAAAAATTTTAAAGGACCTAAACTGAGATAGTTAAAAAAAAAATATTAAGGATATTTTTGTTAAAAAATGAATCAAGTTAAGGATAAACCTAACAAAAGGTAATATTTTTGTTAAAAACATTTTATGTATGAAATACTTTATATTATATTCTCCCTATTAAAGTTAATATTTTTGAAGGATCAAAATTTCCATGCCGAAAGATTTCTCGTATATTGACGACATGCATTTCTTATTTGAAAACTAAATAACAAAGCTTTACTGGGAGCAAAAACATTTGTGTGCCTTTACCAAATCTAGCTTCAAGTTTGCACCAAAAAGGAAATTGCAGGTTTGCAAAAATTAGAAAAATATTGACAGAGATGTGCAAACAGGGGTAACCACGTTATCGGTTTACTCATTAGTTTTACTATCATCTTTGTTTTGCTACAAATGTTCTTCTTAATCTAAAGCCACAGAATCATTCCTCTGACCATGTCAGAAAACTGTTCCCTCCTAAACTTTACACCATGTGCTCCACTCCCTCAAACTATATACAAATCTACCTACGGATTTTCAAAACAAATTGATCAGTACAACGGCTCCGATCACCATGTACTGTAAATATGCTAAAAGCACAAACAATCAAACGATGCGAAAGGAGAAAAGAATCTACTGGAGATGATGCCATTGGTCCTATGTGCGTCATTATAGTATTATCATTATTACTGTGGAATACTTTATATTTATTTAACAATAAACAAAGATAATATGTAAGCTCAAGTCATACCCATGTATCATTACAAAACTGTGGCCAACCCAACAGCAATCCCCTAATTCATTCATCATTTCGATAAAATCACCTCTACAGTACTATCTCTGCCTTTCAATTCCTCTCTCTAACTTCTACATTGCTACCTCAGAGAGGGTGATAACTGATAAACAGAAATAGAAAAACCAGGTACAGTGATCCAGATTTCCAGGGACTATTCCGTGTCCTAGAAAAATAAAAATGAAGGTATTATTCTAAGCCCTTTGAAGCAAAGATCGAATGGCTTTGGGCGGTGGAGGCTAAAGGAATAAAACTATGGCCTATAAATCACTGCCTTCCAACTTGCTCATCTCTTCCTCCAACAGCATCCCTTGGTACCGGCATTCATTGCTGCAAAATGCTCTCTCACCCCTGCATCACAACATTAGCAACTTGATGAAGATCTTCAGGGTTTATTAACACCCTTGCAGGAATACTTTACAATTTAGAAGATCATACTTTCACTTTGATTCATAACCAGTTATTAACATAACACTAGACATCGGATTACAATTGAAGAATCAGATCATATCCTTCTTTATATTAACAAAACAACTACTTATGTTTCGCTAAAATATAAAAGAGTTATATTAGCTTATAATATTTCAATTCACAATTTTCCCAGTCTTTGTGGTTTAAGGAGAATGGATGGAAATAGTTATTAACCATTGAGAATTAAGACAATAAAAAGCTCCAAGATACAAAGAGGACATCGTGAAATTAAGGCCAGCCTCATTCATTATGACATCAAATTTAATTTCCTGCAGAAATATATTCAAGCTGCACCCTTTGATGATAAGATACTAAAGCAACTTTGCAGTACACAAAGGAGCAAAAGCAGCTTTAAAGACCACATGAATCCTCTGTCAGCTATTCCGGTTAGAGCCTAGAGCCCGATAAGTTCAGACAAACACGCTCGCAGTAGAACTCTCTCGTTTTTTGTTTTTTTTTTTATTATTAATCTTGTTCGAGCCAAAATAGTACTGAATAAACAAGAATGAGACTAAAAACAAAGAAGACTTTGCTTTTCAGGGTAATTTTTCCCAGATTTTTCGTAGTTGTCAATAATCTGTACATGATAATATATCCGACGCAAACAAAATTATTTCAGTCGAGGATTCACATAGTCCAAAAAATGAGTAAAAATTGCTCTCGATTCCCATCTCAAATCGAACATACCAATTAATTTCCTATACAAGAACCAAGAACCGGACAAGTATTTTTATGGAGATAAAGAATAAGCAAGTACCTGTACATGTAGATGTCTTTACCCTCTCCAAGGTTTCTTTTGCAGTGAAAGCAGACACTCAAAAAGCTCCGAGAGTGATAATTGGTGTGATGAGGAAAACACTCATTTTCCTTAGCAGAGCAGCCAAGTTCGAAGCAGCTACTCTCAATGATGCAATTATCGAATATGTGAGTGGTTCTCGGGTTTGGCCCGTGGGAAATCACACGCGTGTAGTCCTCAGAGAGTTCCATTTCGCTAGCAGAGAGACACCCCATAAAAACTCGCTGAGAATTAGCACCCCCGGATGCAGATTTTCCCATAGACAAACTCCCAGGTGAAGAATTTCCCTTCTCAGCTACGAATTTGGATGATTCAGATGGAGACAGTGGAGGAATCTGAATCTTAAGCTGAGATCCAAACACAACCATTCGACTCTCATGTTTCGAACTCACTTCACTGTGTTTCTCTTCGTCTACAAGAGCGTCAACTAGGCCAAGACCAACGCCTTTGGAATCCAATCTGTCCCAGTGTCGCTTGTGTTCACTCCCTGGGGTTCTGGGGCTGTTTGTTTCGGACCAAAAAGGATTCTTGAAACCGGAGAAAGGCTTGCTGTCGAGTATGGAGGTAGGACTCATCATGGTTTCGGTTTCATGGAAACCTTTCGGAGTGAAATTGGTGAACAATCTCGGAGAACTGAAGAAAGATGACGAAACGGATTTCTTGTACTTATCTGAGGAACCAGAATCTGCCATTAGACCCTTGTTTTGTTTCTCTCACTAACTCAGTCACCAATCACCATAGCTTGCTTTTATGTTTCCTGAAACCAAGACACAGAATATGCCACAAGTTTAGAACCTTGTTAAGTTGTTTAAGTAGTGCCCATATCATAACAGTGTTTGTGTGTGTATATAGGAATCACCTGAAAGGACAAGGTTGCCAACCGAACACTGCCATCAGTTTAAAGAGGCAACACCAACACCAACTTAAAACGAGGCTAAAATTTCTGCGAAGGCTTAGAAGAAAAGGGAAAAACTGCAAATTGCAAACAAATTTCCATGAATAGAAACCTCTCCCACTATGACCCCCAATCCGAAACCAGAGAGGAAAGTGGAGAAACAGATATAGAAAATAGAAGTTATTTTATTTTGTTTAAAAAAATGAAAGCAAGAAGGAAAGAGAGGTGACTTTTTCCCCGGCTTTCTCGCCCTCGGTTCTCCTGTTTCTGAGTATAGAATCACGATGGGGCTCAAAAACGACATGCGAAGAGACCCTCAGTGGTCATGATCAAAGGACCAGACGTGCATGCATCAGACAGCAGAACAAGGAAGAGTTTGTATTTTTGTTCCTTCTTTTGGCTACCTTTATTTCTCCCTTTCAATTTCTTTGCATTTTATGTCTCTCACTCCTGTTTCACCTCAAATTATTAGTGCCTTACGAGTAAAAGGCCAAACACCCCCAGGGTAAAACCCACCCAACTGGTCCCTAAAATCCCATTTCACCACCAAAATAAAAAATAAAATAAAATAAAAGCAACGGTTGTGATGATGATAATTCATACATAATCCATAAAGCCCCTCTCTTTTTCTCTCCTCGCCCTTTTATGTCTAGTGGGGTTATCTTTTTTTCACTGTGTTCTTTCTCCCTCTTTATTTTCCCACTAGCTCAGGCGTCCATCATGAGCCCTGAAAAATTGGCATGAGTTGCAGAGAGAGCAGTACTGAGAAAGAGAGAATCATAGGACACAAGACAATGGAAAATTCAGAAATCAGAAAGCGGAGTGTGGCGGTAGTAATAGTAGTAGGAATGAAAAATTGTTGGTGGTGGGTTCTTATAAAGACGCGTGTAGTTGAGAAACTTTTTTTTTTTTACTTTTTAGTGAGCGTTGGTATCAGGAGAAAAGGATCGGCGGTTTTAACAAAACCACCACACTACACTCTCTTCTCTCTCAGCAACAATGGCAGTAACATGGTTTGAGTTTGTTGTGTTTGTGACACAAAACAAAGATAAGGCGGCGTTTGGTAAGTGGAATTTGCGATCGGCTATCTTAATCTTTCACTCTCAACTCACTCAGCATCAATCAATCAAAGGCAAATATATAGTAAAATAGCATGCTCACATCATACATAGAAGCACTCACGAGACTTTAATTACAAGATGCCTCCATGGCTTATATATCACATCTTAATCTAAATTAAATAATAAATAGGTTTATTTGGTGCGTATTTGACGTTAAATAATGCACTTATTTTTAAGGTTAGAGAATGAATAACTAATGAGGTGGTTCTGATGTACGTTTACATTCACCTCGCAAATAGAAAGAGGACAAAACACAATAGGAGATTCGTGCGCCAACTTGAATTTTATTACATATATTCTGATGTGTTTTACAAAAATATCTAATAAGTTTACGAAATTGAAAAACAAAATTATAAATAAGATTTTATAGTATTATTATTTACAAGAGTGTTGTATACCACTTTTTATAACAAATATTTCTACAATGGTTAAATTTAATAAAAATAATAGTTAAAATTTCAGTTAATGGTAGAATTAAGAAATGTTTTGATAAAAATAAATTATATTTATTTAATCGATTAGGGTTTATTTACATGACACCTTCTGAAATAATTTTTGATAATTTATTTATAATAAATGATAACTTTTATACGTTTTTAATAACTTTCATTATTAACTACCTCTGTTAACAAGTTTTATTGAACAAATAAATAACTCAAATTATTCTTGAAAATATGCATAAATTATCCATTGGTACATTTCTTTGTTGGTTACTATATTTATTCATTTAAAATCCCTTAATTAATTTATGATTTCGTCAAATTCATTTATTTTGATATTTTTACTTTTCACTGTTTGTTTGTAAATAGAAATATATTTTGTGACGTTAATTAAGAGTTAATAAATAATTTTAAAAACTAAAATGCTTACCTATGGTTCTAATAATTAATGTAGATATTTAATGAGTATTTTGAGATTCTGATGTGAATTTATTTTTAAAATGTGAATTATAAAATCATTATTATGAAAATTATAGCATTTTTATAATTATTCATAACACATTAAATAATATAATAAATACAAGATTCATGTGATATTAAATAATTATTTTTAATATATATATATATATATATATATATATAATTATAAATATAAAAACATTATTGCTTTAGCTTGTAAAAGTCGTAACATATTGAATATATTATGCATTAAAAGTTAAAAAAGTTGAATTAAACGCACTGAGTTTATTTATTCATATCTTTTGAAGCATTCTGATAAAGTAATTTAGCTCCAGTACCTTTGATTGTGTCATTTTGCATGTAAGAATGAGGTTCAAAGGTTCCTTTATATAGATAACTTATTATTTGTGCTTAAGAAAAAACCTGAGAAAGTAGATAACATAATTATTTTTCAATAACCTTAAAAAATCTTTGTTTTTTACCCAAAAAAAAAAAAGTTTAACATTTTTAAGTACTTTCAAATCTATATGATTTAACATTATTTTCATGTTTAGAAACTTATCACATGTTATTTATGAGGATATGCATACAATTTACAAACAATTTTTAACCAATGTTTAAGGTGAGTTGTTATTATCTCTAAAAACAGTGAGTAATCAATGTAATTTATAGTTAAATTTAATTTTCGTAATTATGTTTAACTTTTATAACATTTATTCAATAGTAGAAGTTAATGATACTTAACAATTCACACCATGCAATTTGCAGTGTGTATTATTTAATTTTGCAGTCAATAATTAAACAAGTACGGACATAAAAAGAAAGAAAACTATAATAATTATCAGAAGACTTCTATTAAAAAATTGAAGGACAAACAGGTATGTTAAATTACAATAATGATAAGGAAGGAAAAAAAATTAATATTATTAAAATAATACTAATAAATAAAATAAATCCTTTTCACTCATTTTTAATGAAATTATTATTTTTTTCTCTTCTTTTTTTCAACGTTAAAAACAAAGGAAGCATTAAAAAAGTGAGTATAGAGACGGTAGTGGAAAGTTCACGGACCCCTCTATAGAGTTAAAATGTAGACGACCGTCAAATCATATATAAATATACTTTACCATTCTCCTACGTCAACCTAATAATAACAGGTCCCACTTCACTTCATTTCGTCGTTTTTTTTTTCAACACTCTTCATGTTCAATTCTCTGACTCCATCTACGTCACTTAACTCCCACCCATAACTCTTTTACAATTACTAATCTTTTTAATCACAACAAGACCAACCTCTTTTTTTCCATTTCTTTAAATAAATTATTTTTTCTTTTCAACGAATTAACAGTAGACTTAATCTTTTGAACAAGTCGTTTTTGTTATGAAGAGGTTATTCTGAAAAGAGGATAAAGCCAGTTTTATTTTGTAGCATTAGCAATTGCATAAACAATATTACTAAAACGCAATGCGAGAGAAAAAAAAAAAAAAGAGGGGGGACCCGTTTCGTGATGAGCAGAGGGTCAATCATGGTTCATGATAGCACGAAGCCAGAAACCATACCCAACCCATCACTATGACCCCATCTAGCCCATTGGTTGGTTCAATTTTGCGTCACTCTTCTCATGCGCCAATGTTTTCTTTACTCTTTTTCTGGATTTGGAGCATGCAACGTCCAATGAAAGAGTCAATAAGTGGAGGCCAAGAGGAGTGTGCATTATTCGTTCTTCAAACACCATTACATTAGCCAAGCTCCATATACTTTTGCAACTTATAAGCAAGTTCGATTTGACGTTTTTCGTGCCTTCATAAAAAATGAAGAATCTTTATTTATATATATATATATATATGTGTGTGTGTGTGTGTGTATTGGCATGAATCACAAGTTATAGGATTGAACAAATGGTGTGACATGTGATAGTTACACCTTACATTAGCTTATATATTTAAACGGGGTTAAAAAGAATATTGTTAATAGTGAATTATGAAGGAATAAAAGACGAGATGATGCCTTTCAAAATTTTACATATATGAAATTGAAAAGGTAAGTCACTGCCTCACTGGTGGGTTGCTTGATTGATTCTGCTATATAATGGTACCCTACGAGCATGGCTACCTATATTAGGCAATCTAGCCAGCTACCCTATTATTTTTTTATTTATTTTTTATTTATATTAATGTTTTTACTAGTTTTGGCTCCCTACTTGCATGACATCTCCATGTGAGTTATTGTAAATTAGAGATTGCATATTTGCATAGAGTATCTCTAAAAGGTCTTATATCTTAATTTTAAATTTGGTTTTGTAACAAACACTTATTACATATGTGATACGATAGGATCTCAAGATTAAAAAAAAACAAAATTATCAATAAAAAAATATTTATCATAAATAAAATTCTTTTCTAAAGTATAAAAAATTGTATACGAAACAAAAATTATAAAAAATAATTAAAAATTATGTGGCATAGTAACACTAGTATAATAACAAAAAATATAAGTTTTTTATAAGAATATTATATTAAAAATACACTTATTTAAAAATTTCCATGTTTAATGTAAGAAAAAATTAGCAATTATAAATATTAATTTTCAATTTTAAGTTTATTAATTATCAAGCTCTTGAAGACGTGTCCTATTTATTTAAGCTATTGAATTATGTAAAAGTACTTATGTTGAAAAACATATCATATATATATATATATATATATATATATATATATATATATATATATATATATATATATATATGTGTGTGGCGACACATTTTTGTAACTTGTAGTCAATACATTTATGATTGCATTTGAATAGAGATGAATTATAATGAGTTGTTAAACATAATTTGTTATACCAATAGTATTATAATATACTCATTGTTTCAAAGTTAAGATTATGATCTTTTGGTACCTTTTTATTTGTTGTTTGCCTTTGATTATATTTCGTTAAATAGTTAGCTGTAATGACTAATCAAAGTTTATTGATTTAAACCACGTGGAAGTCTCTTATTTTCGACTAATAAATAGGTTGAAATATTCTATCATGGTATACCTAATTTTCAGCTATTAAATAATGTTGTGAGTGCATCTTGGCTGCACAATTTGTGCTTAGGTAACACTAGCGTCCAAACTATGTCTCCTAATACCGGAATTAAATTATACAAAGTCGTTTAAAAGCTTTTGACAGCTAAAACTTATATTTTGTTGTTAGATTTTTTTTTAGTAGTAAGTAAGTAAGATGGATTATATGTTTCCATCTCAATTTGGTTAAAATAACATAGGATTATATGTTTAAAATATATCTTTTTTAAGGTTTTAGTTCAGTCACAATAATTGTTCTTGCAAAAAAATGTGTTGATAGATTAATACCTAAGATTTAAACTTATTTTAGCAGTAAAACGGGTTTAGATTAGTATAACAAAAAAAAAAATCGTGGTAACAGTATATCATCGTTTTTTTTTTTGACATATTGAGAAAATGAGCACATAGTGTGGACATTATGGCACCAAAAGGCTTAACCGATGAGCGAGGTTAGTGGAACAAGTTTCAAAGTGAAATATAATGATGTAACCCTACTTACAAACAAACAATTACTTATGCTCCTTTATCACACATCCACTGTCTCACACCATATGAAATATGTTAAGGTAGAGGAGTTTTTTTTCTTATTACGGATTAAGAATGTATCTTGGCTGTTGAGCTAATTCATAAAAAAACTAATCTTCAATCATAAAATCGTACAACTTTTTCAATTAATTCACATTATTAAAAATTACAAAGTTTAACTGGTTTTATTTTTTATTTAATGACTTTCTTTTCATTTAAAAGGGAGAGTGATTTTTAATCATTTTAACACTAAAGTGTTAAGGAGAATGTTGTATATCAGATATACGTCGCTCCCACCTTGATTGTATAAATTTATTTGTTTACATAAATTTTTTAATAGTTAATTTTATTTCATCTACTCATTTTATTGGCACCACTTTAATGATGAAGGACAAAATATTTAAGAAATACATTCCTTCTACCTAATTTTAATTTTGTCATCTCTTATAAATAAAAAATTTGACATGTGATCATACTTGAGCTTGATCTTGAGAATCTTTTAAAAACTTAGTTTTGCTTAGATGAGAAAGTGAAAAAAGGAGGGAATAAATAATTATTTAGATCAGAAAATTAAGAATAAAAAAAAGTAAAATAAATCTATCTGCTGTTATTATTTTATTATTTAAACATTATTTATATTATTAATATTATTATCATAATTAATTTTATGATATAAATTTTATTTTTTAATTATTTTAAATATCTTTTAAATATAAAATAAAAATTAAAGTTTCAAGATGAATAATCTTAAACTTACAAATGGAAATAAGGTCTAAAAGCTGTTGTTATGAAAAAAAAATATATAATTTTCTTAATTTTTAATTTTAATTTGATTGATTTTCAAATATGAGATTAATCTCACTATTAAATGTTATGTTCACATATCCCTTCTATAGTAGTATATTTTTCGAAGCAAAGCAAAAAGTAGGACCCAAGTTGACTAGGGTATTGTTTGAATCCAAGTCAGAATTAAACTCAGCCACTTGTGTCCTTTTTTTTGTTAGGATCATGCAGTATAAATTTTTGCATACATTTCTCTTATATTAAGCACACGAAATTTGATGAGACTACGAGTAGACACCACCTTCTTGCACTCCTACCTTACATTATACCACAAGTCTTACATCTAATTTTCATACTCACCTCACCTCCATATAAAAAATAAATCTTGAAGGTGTTCATTCGTAATAATTTCGTTCAAATAATACTTAGAAAATATACTATTATTATTATTATTATTATTATTATTATTATTATTATTATTATTATTATTATTATTATTATCACATTTTCTATGTTTTTTCTTGTCTTGTTTCCTCTCACGTATGTGTTCCTGTGTCTAGAGCTCTAGGTGGAGGTACTTAAACTTTCTTCAATCATAATAATGGCGAGGAAAAACTGTCAAATGACCATTCATTAGTGGAGATATGATCCTTTCTAAAATCTCCACCGAAAAATAAAGGTCTTTTTCCTTTTATATTTTATCAAATAGAAACTAGCCAATGTACTGATTATTCTTTTAACATTTTTAATCATCTTTATAAATATTTCATTCAAATCATAAGTAATACATACAAAAGTAATTATTATTCTAATAATAAGAATTAGAGGCTAATATCTACTTATATTTTTTAATTATTTAAACTAAATTGTAAAAAACAAATGATAAAAATAAAAAATAAATCTTTTATATAATTTTTGTTCTCTTTTAATTAAGCACATTAAATTATAACAAAATAGATTGAATAGTGGTTAAACCTCTGCATTTAAATTGTTGGGACAATAAGAATTATAACAAATAAACGGAGATAAAAATAAATTATGATAGTTTAATAAAAGAAAACCTTTCCGCTGTTTTAGAAAACCCTTTATATAATATTGTGACATATTGTTTAGGGTTTCTGTTGCTGATAATTACAAATAGAAAGTTATAGGCTTGTAATCTCTTATGTCTTTAGTCTTGCAATTGCTTTAACATCTTAGATTTCCTAACGCCAGTTACTAAATTATTTTGGGGTTACATATGTGGCGTTAGGGTTTTTATGTCTGAACCAGAATTAGGGTTTCACTAATTTCCTTTCTTTCCTTATTTTTTTTTTCTTCACGGAGACCACGAGTGAAGGTATTGCACCTGTACGCACGCACCCACTGAAGCACGAGTTCACCAGGAACGACTAGAACGAAGGTTCTGAACTCTAGATTCTACTTTTCTACGCGTTTTCCTTATCTCTTCTCTTTTGAATTTGTATTATCCTGGATAAAAATCTCATTGTTTACCTTGTATAATTTGATATGCTATAAATATATGTTAAGTAATTCTATATATCATCAATTGATTTTGGAACTTTATCAGAGTTTGTCATGGCCAAAAATTACCTTTTAGTTGAGTTAAAAAATACCTTTTACTTGATCTCACATACTTAATTAGAAGAAGGTAAAAAATATCATTTACCTAATCGACAGGTTTTATTAGAACGTGTTAAAGTTCTATATCGTCTACTTCATATAATATCATATAATTTAATATGATTTAAATACATTTTTATCAATTAATTTTAGGTTGAAATCTTAACCACGGAAAACCACCATGGCCATTGGAGGAATAACTTCTGAAATCTTAACCACGGAAAACCGCCATTGGAGGAATAACTTATTCTTTTCATGCTGTGAAATGCCTGTTGCATATTTTAATTTAGAATTTAATCAAAAAGTACCAACAGTGTAGAATTTTTGTATGTTATCATCCAATCATAGAAATTCACCTTTACCATAATATCTAATCAGTTAATAACGATTATAATGGTACTTTATCAATAACAACTAACGTAATTATTTGAAAATGTCATAAATAAATTAAAGGTCGTAGATAAAATAATTTGCTCTATATTTTACATTTTTGGTCCATTCATGTATTGAATTGCGAAAACGATACGCTAAAGAAGTTGCAAGACAAAATAAATGAAGTAGGACCAACATTTTGCAGAAGGAAAATATAAAAATAAAAAGGAAAGAATGCCATTTCGGAGATGTCATTTTCTGAGGCACGTAGTTCAATTCAATTGATAAACTGCTACTATACCCAATATATCTTCCTTTTATTATACATGAATTATTAATAACTCGTATTTTTTATATTTATAAAAAATTGTAAAAGTGTTAATAATCATAATTTATTCTTATTTTTTTTCATGACTAACTTTATGTGGTTATATTTATAGTAAGTATATTCATGTGGTTCTGATTTTTTCTTTTAAAAGCTTGAGTTGAAGTACAAGCGATGCTAAGATAAGACCCATTAAGTATTGTACAATAAATTGGGCCTAAAGCACTGTAGCTTCTGACCCATGTTTTGTGAACACTAAAACCAAAATTGAAGCCCAATTCTACGCCTGATCAGCACAATAAAAGTCATTAATGTAATCGACGCAAGAAGAGGTACATCTGAGTGACACAAATATATTAATTTTAAGACGTAGAAAGTATAATTTTTGCGTTTTTTTTACGCTTTGAATGTTATTATTTCCTTTATAAACTTATTTTTAGACACATCCTAACACTTTATATTGCTATAATGAATATTTTTGTTTGTGTTTTTTTTTTAAATATGAATATCTAAAAGATGAATTATTTTCAAATATTTTTTTACTACATTTACTTTTTATAAGTAGTTCTATTTTTTAAAAGTAGAAAATTGTTTTTTTCTTCTGCTTTTTAAATAAGTTTATCCAAATATAATAAAAATAATAATAAAATATCATATTTTATTGAAGATTTTTTTTTAAAACAAATATCAACCTAAGATATTTTGAAAACCATATTGACCACTGACTTTTTTTTAAAATTACGGTAATGATTTTTATTTTTCTACATTATTTTTAATATTAAAATCATTCGACTTGTTGAGTATTGGGGACAAGGAGGATAGAGGAAAAAGATGTATGTGGTGTTTATTAAAATAGAATTTGGTTCTTTTCAAGTATACCTCTAAAGTCAAAGGAAATTATGTCATGAATTAAAAATAATTATGATAAAAATACGAATAATATTATCGTTAAAGTTTAAATTATTTGTTATTAATTAAACTAAAATAAAATTATATCCATTCAAATATAATTTACACGTTTTAAATAAATCTAAATATGTTAAACTAAGATCATAAACTCGTAATATCAAACGTCCAAATTTATTAGGCGAGAGTAAATATTTGTACTACAAAGACAAAATTATATGACCTGGTCACAAAAATGAATATGTGTCACCCCTAAAACCATCCAACACCACGACATATGTAAAGCGATGACAATCGTTAATAACAAATACAGAGCATTAACGGATTAATGAATCAGTTTGCCAAATAATGTTGGAGCAGATGTTGCTGCAAGAACTAAATACAGCATAGGAATAGAAAACTTGACGGAATTTGCACTGGACGAGCCATTATCTCTGGATCCAGTTCCTGCAATTTATTGTCAAATTAAATGGTTAATTAATGTTTAATCGAGGAGCACAAATTGGACCTAAATATCTTTCATAATCTTGTTGAATCATCATTGTGTACCTGATGGATTCGAATTCGGAGATTCGGCTGGCGAAGCATCTGCGGAAATCACATGACGCAAATGAATTATCACAAATATATAGAATTACAAATCAGAATTAGAATTGCACCTTGTAATCTTAGTGACTTGATTAGAGACGGAATAGGTGAATATTCTTTTTCAACATAAACTTGGTGTGTTATTAGAGTTAAAAATCGAAGCTCAACTGTTTGAACATTCAAAGAAAGTTATCTGAGAAGAAACTTTATTATCTTACCTCTACACTGAGTAATGGATGGGGTCTTGACATTGCAAACAGTAGGCAAGGCCAGAGCTCGGGTTTGGTTGATTGTGATTCCGAGTGAAGATGCTCCTCCGTTAAGAACCTCACACAGGCACTCTGGTTGTGAGCTCACAACACTGGCAAGCTGAGAGCAGCACCCTGAAGAAGGGGTGGAGGAGTTCCCGGAGATGTAGTTGAGGCACGGTGACAAGTTCACCAACGCATTCGAGCAACTTGATGATTGTGCCACGGCACCTGCACACAGCATGCTCATGATCACCAAAACCACACCCATCTTCATCTTCCCTTGTGCCTTTGGACTGCTTAATTAATTTGATGCAATTGTTGTGGAATCCTTTGAATTCAGAATAAAATATATAGTTTGTGTCTGGTATAACGGTTTGGGAAGGAGGGGGGTTTTATAGGGATGAAAGGGGAAGAAAGAGACAAAAAATAATGGACTGGTTATGTGGGTGAACCACCTACTAACTCTGAAATCAATTGGGTCATCTATTCGGTATTTGGTGGCACCTCTGCATTTTTTATGCAGTTCAAACACGGAAATTTGGACCCTTTGGAAAAGTCCAAGTCACTCTCATGGAAAAATTAATGAACCAATTTAATATCTGGTGTAAATGAATAAGACGGTTGGTTATGTTTGATGGACTTTGAAACATAATAAAACGAAGTACGTGTTTCTTACGCTTAATCTTTTGAATTTCGCGCGTATAACTTGTCTTTGCCAAATGAATATGAACAGAAGAAATTTGCGGAGTGAGAACAGCGTCAAGAGGCAACGCCGTGTTTCAGAGAAATTGAACAGTGTCTGTTGTAGTCTGTAACACAGGATCACACTTGTATGCAATGCATTATTAAATAAAAACTAAATTATATTCTTGTTTCAAACTGAGGTTGGTTATCAACTAAATGGGAATAATACTCAAATATAAATTAACGAGTTATTAATTTGATCAAGACTCGTTGAACCGATTAAAGTATTAAACCATATATATAATATACGAACAATAAAATTCACTGTACCATTTTGGTTTTTTATTGAGATCAAACGTGAATATATGATTTAATGCTAATGTAGTATTTATACAAATATATAAATAAAATTTTTTTTTACATATAATATGACAGAAACTTGTTATTTAATTAAGATTTAAACAACTACTTTAAAACACGAATTAATAAAGAAAATTTTCAATTTTAGCCTCTTCTAATTAAATATTATTATTATCCATTTTAGAATTCTTATCCAATTTATTCGAAAAAAATCATAAGAGAGAAGAGTGTATATACCAGCTATATAATTGTAAGAAATAAAATAAAAAGTGTAATTAAACGTTTGAATTCTTTGTTACTAGGACGTTCTTTACACATATTAATATACTATCTAAACAAAGCAAAAATTATCATTAAAAACCTACTTTTAGCATTGTGCTGAAAGAAATTTTCAGAATATTTTGAAATCTTAATATCTCCTAAATGAAATGAAATTAAAATAAAATAAAATAAAGGTATATAAACAAAATTATGAAGTATAAATAACAATGTCTTTCCTCTCAACTATGTTTTCCTAAATTCTGGCTTTGGATCGAAGTCCATTTAGGTTTTTTCTGTCGCCAGATGCAACCTTCCTTGGGCTTAGCCCAATTTCACCACCGATGTACGAAAACAAGGAGCCGAAACTAAAAGCGCGGCGAAAAAGTAATACGCAGACCAAGCTAATCCAAGAACCATAAAAAGAAAAAATTGAGATTTTCTCAAATTTAACTTGTACTCTAGATTTTTAAAAATTCTAAACAAATCTCAATTTATTTCAAAAATTTTAAATTGTTTTTATTTTTACATTACATATGTATTCCGTAAAATTTAAAATCATTAAACATGTCTTATATTTTTACATTACATGCACCTAGTGATGAAAAAAATAGTGTAAGTATGGAAGAAGCTGAAAAATATTAGTATAAAAAAAAAGTGAATAGAAGATGGTGTAAGAGTATTATTACTCCCTTATCCAACAGAGCAGCTGAACTAAAAAAAGCATTATACGAGTGGCAGATGATCAAACAGGTACAATAATTGGAGGTAGCACACAACATTGTGAGACCAAATGAGGGTAGGAAGTTTTAGATGCCACTTGGTGAGCTTAAAATGCTTAGCAAAAGTGGCTTCTGCATTGCTCACAAACACGCCAAACCCACCTACTTCAAACTCTTTCATTTTGCATTCATTGGTTATGGTAGTTGAGCTTCTAAACCAACTTTGACTCTTCCCAATCTCCACTTCTCATCTTCATGAATTCCCTCTATAAATTCTCTAACCCTGCCACAACCCAACCATCAAAACTCCCCCCTACACATTTTTTGTTCTAAATCTTCAAACTTGAAACCCCTTCTGGTGGACCCGACAAGACAGTACACATGGCAAGTTTTGGGCCTCTTTGTCGCATAGCTATTATGCTAGCTATGGCTCTGGTGATGGTTGCACCAACCTATGGTCAAATCAACACGCCATGTAACGCATCAACAATAGGGAGTTTCTTCACACCTTGTATGAATTTTGTGACAGGTAGCAGTGGCAATGGAACCTCACCTACGACGGAGTGCTGCACTGCCCTCAAGTCCCTCACAAATGGGAGCATGCAGTGTTTGTGTCTCATTGTCACTGGCAGCGTTCCCTTCAGAATACCTATCAATCGAACCTTGGCCATTTCTCTCCCTCGTGCCTGCAACATGCCCGGGGTCCCAGTTCAATGCAAAGGTTCATTTCTTCCATTTTTATCATATTTGTTGTAAAACCTCTCACCTCTCTTTCACACTTCCCTGTTTTATTTCTTTTGTTTTTTAGTTGAATACAATTTTTTTTTTTAATCAAGACTATGAGATTTCTTTTAGATATAGAATTTCCCTAGGTCTGGATGTCATTTGGCTATACAAAATTTAAATTTATTATTCATTATCAAAACTATTTTTTTCAAAAATTAAATAAGAAGACTGCATAGATTATTTTTAAATTATAAAACAAACTTTTTTATCATTTTATCAGTGTTTATTAATTAAGAAGTTTATCTAAACAAAAATGAACATATTAATTAAAAACTATTTTTCACTTTGTTAACCATAATTAAATTGTGGTTATAATATTTTTAAGTATAAAGTTCAAGAAATTTAACAAAAAAAGAGTAGAACTTTGTAAACAATAAAAAATTAACGAGAGAGTACTAATAGGGACTTTTTTTTTAATAAAGATAAAAACTAAAAAAATCTCTTTTTTTTAATAAAGATAAAAACTAAAAAAAAAAATCTCTTTTTTTTTTTTACTAGTTCTACCAAAACACAAAACTCAAATATGTTAAGCTGAATAAAAAACTATTTAATTCATACTAGATTTTGCTCTTAATATTGTTTATCCTATAAAGCTAATTAAGGAGTGTTTTTCTTTCTTCACTCTTTTGCAGCCTCGGGTTCACCACTTCCTGCTCCTGGTAATGCCAAAACGCCAAACTCTGTTACAGAAAATTCTTGTTGAAACATTTTTCCCATCGTAACTAAGCTTTTGAATGATTTTTATTAAACATGCGCAGGACCAGTGGCTCTTGGACCATCACCTTCACCTGCTTCAGCTCCCTCTGGATTTATTCCAACCCCAAGTCCTCAAGGTTAAAATTATTTCATTTCAGTAACAGTTTTCAGATATAATAAACTTCTTTAAGTTTGATACTAACATATCATACCATACCTATTTTGCCTTTCAACAGGCTCTGTTGTTCTCCCCTCACCAACTTCACCTTCTCTGGCACCACAATCTGACGCATCTCCTTCTCTTTTGACTCCACCATCTCCATCAGCGGATTCTGGTAACCCATCTGTATCAACCGGAAGTGGCCGCACTAATCTCACTCCATCATCTGCCATGACATCTTACAATGCCCCACCTTATCTTCTCTTCATTGCACTCGGACTTGCTGTTCTCCAATACCACTAGGCTGTGTTTTTGGAATATCTTGTGAACACGTACTATATATATATATATATATATATATATATATATATGTTCTTTCCAGTGTAGCTATTAAGTTAGATTTAAGATTGTTTCAAATCCCACATTTTGAGGAGTATTCATCGTATCAGATAGCTTTTGCATTGTAATGATTTTTTGGTTTTTGTTGGTGAATTTTGCATTGTAACATATATATTAAAATTGGAAACTGAAGTTTTGTTATTTCTTTACGAGTTTGTTAATTTATTATTTGTATTTTGTCAAGACTTTTTTATTAGTTCAATTTTTTTGGACTAACCATTTTTATTATATTTTATGCTAATCCTTCCGATGAGGTATGAAACTGAATGCTTGCTCTCTCTGGTGGGTGATATATGACACATTATATCCTTTTTAATAACTTGTAACAGTCGACATTTTTTATTAGAGTAACAAAATAACATAACTAAAACAAATTAGAAATGTTACGAAAAAAAATGGAACTACAAATATTACTAACATTTATCGTTAAAAGTCTTCAAAACCGTAACTCAATTAAAAAAAATGTTGCAAGAAGATATGACTCAGTTAAACTTACAACATCTTATCACATGTTATTAAAAAACGTCAGTGAAGGTTAAATATGTCGCAAGTGTTACTATAATTTTGTGTTTCATAAACAAAAAACTAGAATAGTCTTTAGCTGAATTTGAATGAAAAAAAAAATGAATATGATGAGATTATCTGTGATTCATTATCTATGAGGCAATTATATATATACCAATATTATCTTCCAAGCCTAAGGAGAGAGGTGAGGGAAAATAAAGCATCAACAACAGCAGAAGAAAGAAAAGGGCGAAATGGGAAACAAATGTGTTGCATTGTTGTTGTTGTTGGTGTGGTTTATAGTCGCTGCGAATGTTGAGGCCAACCTCTACGAACAATACAGAGCCAAGTGTTTATCTATTTGCATTGCACATAATTGCTTCCCTCGCGGGATTCTCTGCAATTTCCTTTGTACGTTACGCTGCATAAGCCCAAGGCCAAGGCGTAAGTTAATTTCCTTCCATGTCTTTTATTTTTTTCTCTCTCCCCATGGAATATTCAAACATTATAAAACCTGAATCACTTTATCTTGCATGTTCACACATTCATTTTCATCTTCATTTTATCGTCTAAATCAAACTAGTGACCTAAAAGCTAGGCTCAGGCTTTTACACAAGGAAGCATTATTTCTTGACTTCTTAATTTGAAACAAAATGTGTATATGTTGCAGCCGATACTCCACCATCAAGGAAGAGAATGGAAGAATGAAGGAAGCACAAGTGGCGATAGATTCTCTTCTCCTCTGCTTACCATTAACTTCCATAATAATAATAATAATAATCCCATCAAAATACGGTCCCTTTTATTCTGATTCTCTTCTCTTCTTTCTCACCAAATTAATTACAACTTTTAGTTGTTTTTTTTATTGAGTATGATAATAAAATTATATATTTGCTGGCACATATGAATTACAGTCATAAAAAAGTTCAAAATATAGAAATACCGAAAAAATATAATGAGAAAATTACAAATAATGCAAAAGTTATAAAATTATTAAAGTATACTAAAATGTCATTAAAATATTATAGATAAAAAAAATTGAGTATTTATTTCCTTATATAGGTTCAATGAAAAACTAAAACTAAGTTAATATTAAAAAAGGGTCTGTAAAACTATTGTGGAAATTTGGTGATGTTTTATAATTATTAATTATTATGTTTTTACTATTCAATTAAGTAATTCGAATAATGTATGTAGATGTGTAATTCTATAGCTATAATCATAAAAAAAAAAGAAATTATCAAGATTTAGAAAATATTTATAAATACCTTTACGATAAAAAATACAACACAATATTATAAAACTAGTGAAATACACTAAAATTTAATTAAAATAAGATAAATTATAATGTTCATATTGATAAAGATTGCCACCCCCAACCTAAGTTTGCATAACAATACACCATTTTGCAGCGACAATGGTATAATACACCATTAAAAAATAATCACGGGACATAATTAATAAGACTGAAGACTCAAACTAAAGCCCTAAGATTTCACAGGTTAGAGCGTAAGATTATTAGAACAAGTGAATCAAAGGTAACGCGAAGCACGATTGGCAGAAAGCACTTAAGCTTAACATAAGCACGAGATATGTATGCCCCCACGCTAAGCTCGGGATGGAAACGCTTAGCGCCTATGTCATCTAGTGTTATTTGTCTTCATTAACAAAACTTTATCTCATCCTTTATCCTTGTAATGAATTTATATCATATTCGAAACAAACAAAACTTTTTCATTTCGCTTATAGCTACATATGCTTAACATAAATTAAAATAGACATATAATTTTAATAATATTGTGAAAATAGAGATTGAAAAGTGTAAAAAGGTTACATTAGTTAAAATAAAAATTTTATATTGGTTGGTGTCATAAAAACTGGAAACTTTTTCCATTAGTTTTTCTAGAACCAGTATAATTTGTTTACATTAATTGATATATATAAAACTGATAATTGAGTGGCTTGAGGAATTACCATACTGCAAACAATCACAAACTCTAAATCATTGTCACAGACAACACAATCAAAACAGAAGCATATTCGACAATAAGTTTTGGTCTAAAGTTGACAATTTTTTTCTTTGAAGATCGTGTCAGTTGTTTAAATATATGATTTTTGCAATGTTTTCTGCTACCAACATTAGTCAAATTCAGTAATGGTGCAATGAATGTATTGTAGTTGCATATGGGAAGGATACAAAATTAGTTCCTTTCCAATTTCGTTTGTTAAAATTAGGATAGTGTAACTAACAGGACCCCAAATTTTAGAAACAGATATTGACTCTGTTCGTGGCTCATAAACCATTTACACAACTATATATACATATCTATCTTCCAAAACCAAGGTCAGGAACTGAGGAAGAGAAAAACCACCACCAACAGCACAGGAAAATAAAGGAAATAACTAAATGGCAAACAAATACTTTGCATTGCTGTTGGTGGCGTGCCTTGTAGCCGCTGCAAGTGTTGATGCCCTACAAACGCCACAAGAATGCGTTAAAAGTTGTCTCGACCGTCGATGCGGCCCAAACCCCAAAACCTTCTGTAGTTTTCTCTGTGACTACGGTTGTTCACTATCATCTGGAGGGATAGTAAAAAGTAAGTTAATTTCTTTCATGTATGTCGCATTTTTGTTGTGTTTTTCTCTGGAATATTGGAACAAAAAAATATAATAAAACCTCAACTCTTTAAATCAAATAACAATATTGAATATAAATCAACTCATTTCATCTTGGTTTCAGGGTTTAGATATTTCACTGTCATACAGAAAAAATCGTTAAAAAAAAAAAAGACGTGATTACATAGTGTATTGACATTGTGGTTTCTTTTTAATATATACTTTAATATTTCTTATTATTAAGTATTTTTAGTCTATATAATATGCAAGATAAATATTTATTTCACATAATTAAAAGCTATAAAGCTGTTCTTATTGAAAATAGTTATTCTAATTTAGAGAAGGAGAGAATTAACTATGTTTATGTCTATGTGTAAGTTTATAAACATTTATTATTTGTTAAATTTGTGATTTTAAAATATGTCTGTATGATGCAGATGATAAGATGGAAACACAGGTAATGCCGACATTAGCACCACAACCACCAAGGAAGGTTCAAGCACAGGGCAAAGAAACAATAGAGACAAATCAAGAGTTTCATTAAGGACTCAGAGCTTGTAGCATATAATTTGAGATGACACGGACGAAAAGGAAACAGAAGCAGAATGGGCAAAATGCACTTACTGAGGCTTCATATGGGGCTTTCTCGTAGACAAGGACATAATATAGTTATTCATGTCCTTATCTCTTTCCTGTTGTTTTTAACCATGATTACATAAAAATGTTATCATTTTTCTTCTCATTCTTTTAGATTACATAAACATTTTTGTAAACACGAAAGCCAGGTTACTTATTCTGGATTTCCCCTAATACAGACTCCTTTGTTTTTAAATTCTTTTGAGTGATTCTAAAGTCAATTTTATATATATATATATATATATATATATATATATATATATATATATATATATATATATATATATATTAACAAATATAGTAGTTGGGAAGAGAGGAAATAAATAATAATAATAATAATGATAAGTGAAGGCTCCTGTTTTATTATGAGGTAATAGAAGGTATATATATACAATGTAGAGTAAAAAAAAAAAGGATAATAGATCTTTAACAGAAAAAGAAGAGGTAAACAAATATGTAACAGAAAAAAAAAAAATCAGATATGAGCAAAAAACTATAGGTAAGAGCACCCTTAAAATGAATATTTAATAGTCCCAACAACTTGAAACAAATATCTTGAAACAAAACTAGAGATAGTGTTGTCGGAGTGAGAATCGCGATTGGGCGAACAAAATTAAGTTTGTAAATGAAAGATAAAAAAAGGATCGAATTTTATTTTAAGGAAAAATATCGGAAAATAATGTTTAAAAAGGAAAATGGTTTGCGAGAGTTTGAGAATCGATTATGTGTAAGGAAGATATTAACACCTTACAACATCCGTTCTAAAAATGATTACCTTTAATTAGATGTAAAAAATTTAAATCTCTTAAAATTATCTATATTTTATTTCTCAAATTTATATATCAATTAGATATTGCTACTAAATAACATATTATATATCTTATATTTTTAGCTCGACAGAGATCATCTCCCTGCTCCTAGTATCCCCAAGTACAATGGAGAATCAAAGTAACATATTTCTTTTTTACAAGTATTTATAGACAATTACAAGTATTTTATATTTATGTTGTAGGTAAAAAATTATGTAATAATCAAATTAGAAATACATCTAAAGTGATTATCATTTTTATAATTTGAATAACAATTAAATCGAAAGTGCATCCAAAGTAATTTAAATATTTAAATTATTGTACTTGTAATTTCTATTTAAATTTAAAATGTATATATTTTTTAAATATTTTATTATAATCAAATAAAAAGTACATTTGAAGTGATTATTATTATTTTATATCAACCATATTAAATGTACATCCAAAGTGGTTAAACTTTTATGAAATATTTTATTACTACTCTAATAACAATAATATTGCATGTTTAACGGTACTCGAGAAAAAAAAAAGAAATGATAATTTAATTGTCAATATAATGATATACTAGTTTAAATTATTTTAAAAAAATTATCTTTATTCAAATAAATTAATATTAATAAGAACTTTTCGTATTTGTAACTCATTTTGTTATGTTGTTCAGATTAAAATAGAAAAAAATAAATATTAGACCCAAAAACTCATAAAATATTTTCAGATTACCATTTGAAAACTTTTATGTTATTTTTCACTACCTTATAGATTTTGGGTCTATCTCTCTTAAGCCCAACCTCATCTTTTACCTTTAACTTTACCCTAACCCTAATAACGAAAATGGGGAGTAAGAGAACTTGGTGATTGGGGTGCTGGCTAGCAAAAACAGCATGCGGTGGCGATTTGGGTGCCACAAGCAAGGGTGACTCAATAAAGTGGGGGCGCACGACTAGGGAGAAGGTGGAGATAGGATGTTCCTTTCGCAGTTGTTCTGTGGTGACTTGGCTCACCAATATGGTTGTGGATGGTGGCGATTAGGGGGTCCGACTATGGGCTATGGCTAGTCGTGGCTCGCGGGTTCAAGTGGTGATGATGGTCGGAAATAAAGGGTGAAGTGCAGAGGAAACAATCACAAGGGTGGTGCGTAGTGGGTGTGGTTTGATGACGATAAGTGATTCGCGGCTGAAGGCACTTATTAGGGTTGGTGGATGAGAATGAACGGCTAGGGTTCTGGTGAAGGAGATAGGAGTCGGGACCGTGTGAGTCTAAATCTGGGAATGAGTGAAGGAAAAGGGTTTTGCTACCGGAAAAAGAGGATGGATGAGGTGGAAACCACGGAGATTAAGGTCACGGCTGGGCTATGGTGGTCGTCAATGGTGCGGTGGCAGCCGCTGGTGGTATGATGGGTTTACTGTGGTGGCTGCCGGTGGGGTAGTAAATGAGTTTTTTTTTTATATAACTTTTATTAATCGTTATAAAATATACAATTAGGAATTGAGAACATGATATAAATACTATTACAAATTGGGAACCTGTTGATTGTTTGTTGGTTGCCTCTATTGTCTCTGTTGATTGTTGTCTTGACTCGAGATATTGTTGTGGTTGTATTGACTCGAAGATTCTCCGATGGTGGGTGCATGATGATGATATGCTTTTTTTTTTTTTTTCGTTCTCCCCGTTTGTGTTCCTCCTTTTTAATGTATATAGAGCTTGGGGGTGGCTGGAGTAAGGGGTGGCTAGAGTAGGGAGGCTGGTTGTAGGGTGGCTGAAGCTTAGGGTGGCAATAGGGTAGCTATTTTTTTCTTTATTTATTTTTTTTGTTATTATTTTTTTATATATTATCTTTTGGTGTTTACAAGGGTTTTAGTGAACATATATCTGCAAGCTAAGGCGATGAAGAGATGGACAAAAGTTTAATCAATCCAACAATAACCTCATTGTGTATAATGTGGTAATCAATGTCAATATTTTTAGTGTGTTTATGAAAAACTTGGTTAAAAACAATTTGAAATGTAGAGTGGTTATCACAATATAACTGTGTTGGACTAATAGAAGGAGCACAAAAATCACAAGTAAGAATGTGAGTCATTTAAACTCACAAGTAGTGAAAGCAAGTGTACAATACTCAACTTCAGAAGAACTCCTAAACACCGTAAGTTGTTTCTTAGCATGTCATGAGATTAATGAATAACCAAGGTAGATACAAAAAATGGTGATAAAGCAGTGAGTGTCAACACAACTTGCCGAGTTTGAATCACTAAAGGCCTTGAATTGAAGATGAGTGTTGGTAGCAAGATATATGCATATACCATGTGTCTTTTTCAAAAATGCGAAGAATGTGGAAGGCATCTTGATAATGATCATGAGTAGGAGATGACATAAATTGACTCAAATATTATACAAGATAAGTGATGTCGGAGCATGTGTGAGTTAAGTAGATAATCTACCAATTAGACGATGATATATGGAGACTCTTGAAGAGGTTCACCTGATGTAGAATGAAGATGAGTGTTGTAAGCCATAGGAGTGGAAACTAGACGAGAGGCCAACATGCTATGATCAAATAATAAGTCGAGAGTGTATTTGCATTGACAAATATGAATACCAACTACAGTACGAGTAACTTCAGTGCCAAGAAAAAAATAACGTAGATTGTCAAGATCCTTTATTTTGAATGTGGAGTTGAGAGAAGAAGTAATGTGTTGACTTTGATCAAGATCATCTCCAGCAAAGACAATGTCATCAACATAAATGATGAGAACAATAATGTAAGAACCAGAAAAATTGAGAAATAAAGAGTGATCGGAAGGAGAATGATGATATCCATAACTAGTCAAAAAGGAAGAAAAACGTGCATATCACTGACGATGGACTTGTTTAAGACCATAAAGGAATGTTGAAGTTTACAAATGTGTCCAATATGTAATAGAGGTAAACCAGGAGGGGGCTGCATGTATACCTGTTCATGAAGATCACTATGTAAAAAACCGTTATTGACATCTAATTATTTGAGATGCCAATTGTTGTTGGCACCAAGAGCAAGGAGTAATCGAACTGTGGTTAGTTTGGCAACAAGGGAGAAAGTATCAAGATAATCAAGACCTTCCATTTTGTGTATATTCCTTGGCAACTAAACGTGTTTTATACCGTTCAATAGAACAATCAACATTGTGTTTGATCTTAAAATCTATCAAACACTCAATTGCAATTTTATATGGAGGTAAATTAGTAAGAACTCAAGTATTATTCGTTTGTAAAGCAACAAGCTCAACATGCATAACCTTAAGCCAACAATCAAAGTTGACGGCTTCTGACATATGTCTTTGGTTTAGATATTGTGAAAATGGATAGTACATAACGATGAAAAGAGGGTGATAGATGATGATAAGATAAGAAATGTTCCAACAGATAACGAACAGGAACAACAGTGATACTACTTGATGTAAAAGCACTCTGAAAATCTTTCAAATATTTTGGAGGTTGATGAATATGGGTAGAACGACGTAGATCATGGGAGGGGAAACAGGCAAATTCGGAGAAGGATTAGGTGGAGAAATGTGTTCTAAAGAAGGATATGAAGGGGATATGTGATCATAAGGTGTAAAAGAAGAAGAATGAGTAAGGAAAAAAATGAGAGTTTTGAACAGAAGAAGGATATATGTGAGGAAAGTGATCTTCATAACAAACAACATTCCGAGGAAATAATGATATCATGAGAAAACTAATTATAAATAAGTAGCCTTTGGTGTGAGATTTGAAGCCTAAAAAAATTGAGGGATGAGGACGATGGTCAAGCTTCTTGCATTGGGCAATGAGTATACTTACATAACATAAGCATCCGAAAATGCGTAGGTTAGAAATATCACAAACATGTTTGTAAAGTTTTTCAAATGGTGACATATTATGCAAAAAAGGAGTAGGGAAGTAATTAATAAAGTTATGTTGCATGTTAAAGAGTAAAACACCAAAAGGTTAAAGGAAGATTGGATTAAAAAAGTAATGTTCGGAAAATATTTAAGAGATGTTGATGTTTGTGTTCAACAATACCAGTTGAGGGGTTCTAATGCTATAGTTTGGTGTATAATTCCTTTTTAAGAGAAATACTCAT